CCTCTGTACAGTATGTTCACAAATAAAATAAAATAAAATTAAAAAAAACAGATGAAGATAAAGCAGAGTGTCATCTAATAATCTAGAGAAAAATACAGGTAGCATAAATCTTTATATGCATTCACATATATTTCCCAAGTATACTTATCTGTCTTTTATAAAATAAAAATATTGTGTACATAGTTTTAAAATATTTTTCACCTATATAGTATATATTTTCATATTAATTACTACACATGTATACAGTTTATCTTTAAGAAGATGCTCATTAATGAATTTCTCATTATCTTTAGACCACAAACTCAATCTTTTAGTTATGAGAAATGACATAAAGAGTCAGGATAACATAGTCAGATCAAAAAAGCCATGAGGTAGAATTCTTGGAAAGTAAGAAGGAAAGAAAGAAGCCCAGCCCAGAACACTGTCCTTTGTGGAAGAGTCCTATGTTAACACTGTTTCCAGACTCTTTTCTCAAAACCCTTTATACTGACTATTATAGGATAGGTCTGAATGAATGATGGGGATTTTTCTAGGGATCATTTGATAGAGATTGTTACCTTCTTTGTAGTGATGATGATTCTTCTGGAAAGTAAAGGAGGTTTGTCCTGGATAGTGACAAAGTTGAAGAAAGTTGGCAGATACTCTATCCAATAAACAGTGGGAAAATCACAGGGAAGAAGAAATTGCTTTTGCCTTGACACAATGAAGTTCATAACATGAATGGGTGTTCCCGGTTATTTCCCTGGTCTGCATTTGAATGAATGACAGGCATTTGGAGATATCAAGAGGAAAGCCTTTACATGCCTTACCCCTCTGAGAGAAGGCTGCTTCTGTCTCCTCTTCTCAACTGTAAGCCATAGTTGTTACAGAAGCATAAGGCAGTTATTACATTATCTGCATTATCTGATGTCTTATTCAAATGTTACTAGGAAGAATATTAGATTTCTAATAAATTATACCTATTTCTCTTTCAGAAATAGATGACAAGAGGGTGAACAACATACAAGGAGAAGTAAGTCCCCTTTATATAATTGTATTTGATTCAAGAATACAATTCTCTTGATTTAATGTGATAAAAATGTAATATGTAACTGTTATATAAAAATTAGGTATTTTTAACTAAACTGAAAAATGGTGTCATTAATAGCTATGTTTGATTGTTACCTCGATTATCTGATGCAAAGAAAGCTCTTAAAAACTTATAAGATTCCCTTTAAAACATCTGGGGTGAGTGAAGAAACTGGAGTGTAGGAGGATAAAGTCTCTAAAGCTTGGGTATCCAGAACTAAGGAGTTCATTCACATACAAAGTCTGCAGTAGTCCAAACATTGTCATTTGTACCTCCTTCACACCTATCCAAGAAGTTCAGATAGAAAATAGCAACCTAGGTTTCCAAGGTGAACTGATGAAATAGAATATAGAAAATATGAAAGGAGCAAACTTATACTTAGAAATGTAATAATTATTAAATTGGATGCTCTGTATGCTTAATCATTTCCTACACAAGAGCAAGCATATTTTTAACAAAATACCAAATAAAATATATAAAATACCAACTAACATCTTGTAAGACTTTTAAAAAAAATCTCAAAACCAACCTGACATTACTGAAGCAATAGAAATCCCCTTCAAATGTCAAGTGCTCAAACATTTACCATAGATGTAGAGTCACCTGCCTTCACTGTGTAATAGACTTATGTCAAAGCATTCTACTCTGAAGAAATTTGTTTACACTGCTCTAGGGGTACAGTGCAATTGCACAGTACTCACCTAGTATGCCTGAGGTCTTGACTTTGATTCCCAGCACTACAAAAATAATTTTAAGAAGAATGTAGTTTATACTCTGCTCAGGTGATATGTGTTCAACAACTGTTTGCTAGATTTTTTTTAAAAAACTTTTAATTTTTAAGATTTTTAACTTCTATTATTTAAGGTTCCTTTTTAAAATTTTATTTTATTGTAAAGATGCTGTACAGAGGGGTCACAGTTACATGAGTAAGACAATGAGTACCTTTCTTGTTGAGCCTAGTTACCCCTTCCCTTGTTGTTCTCCTACTATCTCTTCCCTCCCCTACATCCTTCTCTCTTCCCCCACCTTCCCAAGGTTGTAAAGTTCATTTCCAATATACTGTCTTGTGGATATCATTGTTTCAATGGGAATGAGGCAATGTGTTGATTGTCTTCCTCATTGATGTAACAATATACCTAATATAAACAACTTAATAGGGAAAATATTTACTTTAGTGCCTAGGTTCATTCCATGGTTGCACATGGCATATGGGTTCTTGGGCAAAACAAAATGGGTGTGGGAGAATGTGGTGGAGCTTCTTCATCTTATGACTGACAGGAAGGGAGGATGCTAGGTATTCCCAAGGACCTGCCCACATTGACCTACTTTCTGTAGCTAGCTCCTACTTCTTAAAGTTGTCATCACTCCTTGAAATTGTGTCAACATCTGGGGACCTAGTTCCCAACCCACAAGTCTGTGTGGACCACTTTATATTCAAACCATACCTGGTAAATACCAAAGCCTTAGCAGTGACTTTGGCAGCAAATGAGTTTTAGTTTGTGAAAAGAAAGATGTCTGGGTTCAATTTATAACTTTATGAAACAGTTTCTCATTTCTTTCAAACTTTGATCATTATGTCTTGTCCAAGGCACAAGGAAAGCCTAGAACAATCTTGCCCCCAACAGTATGTCTTGTAACTATTTACACTCCACTTTTCAAAGCAAAATTAATTGCTCCACAATCTAAATCTCATTATGACCCTCACACTGCCTCATTAAAATATAAATCAACATGCTAGTAAGGAGTCTTTGTGACCTAATCTGATTGGAGTCTCCAAAAAAATATACATATAATAACATGACTATTTGTATAGTTTCATGTCATTTTGGAATAGAGTGTAAATTTTTACTCTGGTATATGTTCCCATTTTTATCATTTTAAAATTGAAGGGAAAATATTAATATCTTTTTTCCTCTTTTGTTCAAACTAGTTTAACTAGATAAGAAAGTAAAAGGAGTAATTTCAAGACAACAATTGATTTAAAAAGTATAAAATAGATTGTCTGGGGTCATATATCTCTTAAACCTTATTTCATATTTATATAATCTCTCCTTGATTAGAGTTATGGTTCTTCAAAGGGACAGTAGAAATGTCTGTGGCATGTGGTGCTGTGTTTTACCTTGGCGGAGCTGTAGGTACTGTCCTATTTGTACATCTGACACTTTTGCTCTTTTTTTTTCTGCCCACAGTCACAGAATGCATCCCCCAAGCAAAGGAAGCAGAGTGTGTACACACCGCCCACCATGAAAGGTACTGTTCAGGTACTGTTTTTGGTGTCCTGAGTGATGAGTAACAGCTGAGAGCCTATCTGTGCTCACAGACCATCCAGCTGATCATATGTTAGATCAGTTCTCAGTTCTACTACTCAGTCGTGTGATGTACAGTAAGACACTTAATCTGTTTAAAGCATACTTTATTCAAGAGTGAAGTAGATGCCTGGAGAAGCAATACCTAAGGGTCTAAGAATCTGGGAAGTCAGTTTTCAAAGTAATGACAAAAGATTTCTCTTTTACCTTTCATCACATATTAGCTTTGCGGAGATTTTTCCATAATCTTTAATTACTCTTGGCAGTGTTGGCAGATGTTGTCATTTTTTTTCTTGACTCATGCAAAGAAGAATAACTTGAATTTGGGGGGTGGTTTTGTGTAAAATGTCACCTTATTGCTTTATGTCAGTAATAGCTCTAAGAAACCTAATCAGACTATTATTTTCTGAACTTGTAGCAGCTGTTAGAAGAAACTAAGGATCTCAGTTCAGATTCAGGCATTTTTTCCAGAAATTTTTCCTCAAAACTGGAACTGCTAAAATAACATCTAAGTGGATCAGTATTTTGACCAACGTTTGTTCCAAGGAAAGCTTCTTTTATTTCTCACACAAAAATATTCCTGACAGGAGGCAGTCTGTTTGGTCCAGTGCTCAGGTTCCATGCTGGCGCTTGGATTGCTGGCTTCGGGCTGCATCTCTGCACTCTCCAGCTCCGTTTCAGCTGCAGAGAAGCCAGATGAGCAGCTTCGTCTGGAGTTTGGAAGGATGTCTAAATTAGGAGTGAAATTTTCCACTCTGTATTCTCTATAGAGTTGGAGGCTTTTCAGGGAGGTGGGATAGAAATCGCTCCATTGAAATGGCTGCTCTCAGTCAACTTCCTTCCTAGGAAGTTATAAAATACCACATTTGCTTGTGTGTAAGACTGTAGTAAATAATGTAGCCCTCAACACTGTAGTTTATTCCAAGGTAATTATTGAAACTACAAAGCATCCATCTCTGTCTGAAGATAAGTATGGCCATTTTTCCCGATGAATTTTTTCTTTTGTATTTTCAAGACACATCAGTTTTGTCATGAATGCAACAGTGAAGCCTCTATGTTCACTCATTTAATTATTTCCTCTGTTCTATTTTTGGGTTGGCTTATGCCAAATAAAGTATTACAGTTCTCATGTCCTCAGAGAGTAAAAAACAGTATTATTTATAACAGAAAATCTTAAGCTCAGAGCCCCACAGGGACGCTGCTGCTCCGTATATTTAGCTTTCAGATAGGCTAAGAATGTGGGATCCTAGCATTTCCGGAAGTTAGTTTGATTACACATTTTTCAAATGACCTCACCTTTCAACCTCTTCCTCACCAGACTGTCATCCTCTGGCAAGCATTTGTGGTCACAAGTTAAGGAAATTTTCTCTCAAGAAAATATCAGGGTGTTCATACCAGTCACTCATTTATATCCAGGAAGTTTATTGTGAGGCATCAGTTTCTGAGGGAAGAAAAAGAAAGCCAAATCTGCATGTTTTGTTCAGTCTATCTGTCCTGTAGGTCTAAAAATGAAAATTTAAGATAAATTCAGCAAAAAATAACATATGGTGTTTGGTGAGCATACTAGAAAGGTTCAATCGTAAGAAAGATGATTAGACAAAGGAAATGCTATTGAGATGTTACATTTGTTACTGCTATGGTTTGGGTAACTATCACCCAAAGATCTTTGTACTAAAGACCTCTATATTGTGAGATGGTGAAACCCTTGAGAAACAAAACTTTATAGGAGGTCTTTAGGTCACTGTGGGCATGCACATGAAGGGGGATGTGTGGTTCTGGTCCCTTCTCCTTCTTTTTGTTCTTGACCATAGGTGAGTGGTTTTCTCTCACTATATATTACCTGATGTCAAAACCGAAAGCAAATAAGCCAACTAATCATGGATTATCACCTCCAAAATTGTGTGCCAAAATAAATGTTTTCTCTTGGTAAATTAATTCTCTGAGGAACCTTATTATATGGAAAACTACAAACATAATTTCCCTCCAGAATTGTGCACCAGTTGAGCTGAATTCTAAAGAAATGTCACCCTTGTGGACCAATGGACCCATTGGATTGCTGGTGTGGGGTAGGGTGTGGTCTGTTAGTCAGTTGATTTATGGCTCACTTGACAATATTGTATGCTGCAAATATAATATATAAGTATAAGAACTTAGGAATGGGTTTCTTAGCACAGAGTACTCTTCTGGATTATCCAGTACACTTACCTCTAAAAGTCAGAATAGGTCTACTTCATCTGGCCATGTTTCTATTCATAGCAATATAAGTACTCAGAGTAGTAAAGGAAATTTAACTAAGGTAATTACCAAGTGATGACTGAAGTTTGGCCATGTTCTCTTGGATTTTAATTTACTAGACTTGAAGCTGATACAGATAATCAAAAGTTGCAGTTTACTCTACTTTTCCAAGTCTAACTATTGGCCAGAATGAGATATCCAATCATCTCTATAACATGCCTATCTCTTGTGTCATAGATCTCTCTCATGGAGAACATAATTGTATTCAAATTTTTACATTTTCCACATCAAATCAATTTCACTTCTACTGTTCTTTTCACAGGAAATGGAACTGTCATCTGCTTGAGTTCTGGTCCCCCAATTATTCCGCCCTATGTCTCACTTTATGTCACAGTTGAGCACCAGGTCTTGTGGGTCACAGCCTCTTAGATTCTATCTCATCCACTTGAGCCACAGTACCACTTCTGGCTTTTTCTGAGTAGTTTATTGGAGGTAAGAGTCTCATGGACTTTTCTGTCCAGGCTGGCTTTTAGTCATGATCCTCAGATTTCAGTCTCCTGAGTAGCTAGAATTATAGGCATGAGTCACCAGTGTCCAGCACAAATGTAGTTTTAAATAATGGGGAAAAATAAACCAGCACTCTACTGCTGGCAAAAGAATAATTTCCTGAAGATCTCTACTTTATTTCTTGGAAGCCTACTAGTAAGATTTTTCTTTACTGAGTTCCATTGAGATATGTATTTACAAATTTTTGTTCTATTTGTTGCTATTTTTGGAAATTTCTTTTTTTATTGTGAAAATACCGTACAGAGGGGTTACAATTACATGGGCAAGATAATGAGTACATTTCTTATCAAGCATTGTTGCCTCTTCCTTTGTTTCCCCTTCCCATCTCTTCCCATTTCCCCCCCTCTACCTTACCCTCCCCCCCCAGCCAAAGTTGTAAAGTTCGTTTTTCGACATAACGACTTGTACATCTCATTGTTGCAATGGGTCACCTGTATCCCTACTTAAATGATTTGTTTTTTCCCTTCTCCTCCACAAATTATACCAACATCAAATACCGTGAAAGCAGGGGTTATACCGTGGAGGAGCGACATACAAAGCAACAGGAAATTTCTTTAAGTGACAGATATCTAAATGTTTCCAGACTTCTATTAGAACTTGGTCTTTCCTTGGTGTAATTAGGCTTGCATTTAGTACTTTCTCATTCATTCTTGATCTCCTAACAAACTCCATTTTGCCTAATCATTTTAGAAATGCACCACTCCAAGTCAACCTAATCATTAAAGTGCAACTTGATCAAAAGGGGATGGAAACTCTAATTACGCCTGAACTTTCCTTCATCCTGGAAAGCTTAGTATTATTAATGCAACCCAAAATTGTCTTAGCTACCATGCGGGTTGTTGACAAATAGTGATCTGATTATAAAATCTAAAATTTGTAAGGCTTATTCATCTATTTCTTTTCAGATACTGCTCTTTAAAATTCTCTTTGAAATAGTAAGCCTTTTGAATCAGTGTGGCCACTCTGATAGGATGCTATAACTCTATTGCCATCTCAACAGAATTTTCTGTTACAATAGAACATCCATCCTCCAAGGATGGATGTAATCTTGTTGCTGCCTCCACAGATGGATGTAATCTTGTTGCTGTTATATCAACACGCCATCATGCCATATTTTGTATCCTGATTCTATCATCCATTTTAATTCCAGTTACCAAAATATTGTGCTATGTTTAGATAAGATAAACTATCTTTTCTATTTTTTCTCAAGCCTGTTATAGATGTATCAAGCAGCAGAACTAAGAGACAGCCCTGCAGCTCATGTACCTCCCTGTGGTCACACTGGTTCCCTTGAATACCACTATTTATCAGTTACCATGTCACCTTACTGTGCCAGACTCCCATCACTTCAAACCAGAGTTTCTCATAAACACTGATGTTAGACAGGTTATTGAATTTTAGACACTTTGTGCTGATTCCATTTGTTCAACTGTACAGATGAGTCATAAACTTAAGATATATGTTACAGATAAAAATGACACAAGTTAAAGTTTGTGTAGAAAAAGACTTCATTTTCCATTATCCAGTGTAACACAATGTTTTATGATTATATGAGGAAAAAGTTCTGCAGATTATCAACAAAATGATAGTTGATGACTGAATGTCTCCATGTACTCCTCTAGTGTTTGTTTATATGATGGTCAGCCTGTAATTTACAGAACAGCCAATTAAATTATTGTTGGATTGCTTGAATCATGTTTTCAGAAAAGCAAAGTGAATTTGAACTTTGGGGCAGGAAATGGCTGACTCACTTCCACCCCCATTGTGTGTGTGTGTGTGTGTGTGTGTGTGTGTGTTACCAGAATTCAAATGCCTTCCACTGATGAGAGAAAAGCAAGTGCTATTGATTTCAGTGGAATTGTGAGCATTAAACAAAGCTGCTTACTGAAAATGAATGTTGGGTAGCAGATCCTATTAGTTTTATATTACTATCATTAATGCAGAGCAAGCCAGATATTTTACTTCTCAAAAATATCATTTTCTTATCATTCACTGTGATTTCTTATAAAAAAAGATTTTTTGCTACTTCAGTACCCAGAAATTGATAGGTCAGATGAATCTTTAAGTGCTTGAGGCATTTTATCCTCTGAGTTTTGTTCTTTTTTCCCCGGTGATAGATGTGACCATAATACTGTATCTCTT